ACTCCAAAACACGGCAACAATTTGAATAAGTTGTTGCAGACAGAAACACGGGGCTTATTCCTGTCCTACGCTATCTAATGCTTTCTTTCTTATCATCCATGAGTTCATCAGCCTATAATTTAATTCCAATTTTTATTTATTTATTTATTTTTTAACCTTGATTTTTTTTTTTTTTTGTAAATTTATAAACATGTCGCAAATCATATTTGGATTCATGTAAGAAATTTTTGCAACCCAGCTGGCAGTAAACAAAATTTTTCTCTAAGCATCATTTGTATTATTTTATAATAAAACAAATCATAAAATTCCATGATAGCAGACTTCAACTTTAACATTCCTTAAAGTTGAAGTATGTAACATTTCTCAAAAGTTTTTTATATATTTGTTAAAACTGCCTCAATGTCATTACAGTTTGTCATGAAACAGCACCGTTCCGGCCAAAAAAAACAAAAAATCAGAGCCAGGAGGAGTGTCTTAGTGCTGTCAATCAAGCATGTGTACACGCTGCTCAGTGTGCTTATTGCAGAGAAACAACTTACCGTTATCCACCGTCATCAGTGGCTCTGCTAACTAGCTTTAGCATTAGCAGCAGGCTCTGCTGTCAGGAAGAAGCTGTAGTGTAGCTTGGAGAAAGAGAAGAGGCGGGAGGAGGTGAGGAGCGGCGTGCATACATGCGCATGATTGACAGCGCTGAGACACTCCCCCTGGTTCTGATTCACAGGTTATTTGTCTCATATTGTACTGTCACAACATGGTGACACTTTGAACAAATACGTAAAAACAAAAAAAAGTATTTGTATGCTGCAGACTTTTTACCGCTTTTCCCAACCTGATGCTGACTCCCACATTTTTTTGTTTTTCTCTCCCCCTCCCCCATCTGTTTCTGCTAGGTGATTGACTTTGGCTCCAGCTGCTTTGAGCACCAGCGGGTCTACACCTACATCCAGTCCCGCTTCTACCGGGCTCCGGAGGTGATCCTCGGCTCGCGCTACGGCCTCCCCATCGACATGTGGAGCTTCGGCTGCATCCTGGCCGAGCTGCTGACGGGCTACCCGCTGTTTCCCGGTGAGGACGAGGGTGACCAGCTGGCCTGCGTCATGGAGCTGCTCGGCATGCCCCCGCAGAAGATCCTGGAGCAGGCCAAGAGAGCCAAGAACTTCATCAATTCCAAGGGTCAGCCTCGCTACTGCGGGGTCAGCACCCTGCCGACCGGCGCCACCGTGCTGACGGGGTCGCGCTCGCGCCGCGGCAAGATGAGGGGCCCGCCGGGCAGCAAGGATTGGAGCGTCGCGCTCAAAGGCTGCGAGGACCCCACCTTTACTGACTTCTTGAAGAAGTGTTTGGACTGGGACCCCTCTTCCCGCCTCACGCCTAGCCAGGCCCTCAGACACCCCTGGCTGTACCGCCGGCTTCCCAAGCCCCTCCCCGGGACGGAGAAGAGCCAAGGGGCGCCTGTGAAACGGCTCCCCGAGCACCACAGCACCTCCTTCCCCTCCATCATGACGAAGGGCGGACAGGGCCTGGGCACAACGGCTCCCGGCAACAAACTCAAGAGCAACATGATTGGAGATTCAGGGGAGACCATCCCTCTTCGCACAGTCCTACCTAAACTTGTCTCCTAATAAAAAAAAAAAACAGTGAGAGAGAATCCTCTGCTCGTTCCACCCACTCCTCAGGAGGAGTCCACACACGGAGGACGTGGTTTTAAAACTTGTTTGGTTGTTCTTCTATTTGTTTTTTTTTTTCTACTGAGGTGTCGACACCCCAGTTCCTGGTTTTAATATTAGCAAAACAAAGAAAGAGAAATTATGACGACAAACGAACAAAAAAAAAAAAAAAAANTGTCCACTGTTATAGTAATGGAAAATTATGGAATTTGATTTGATGGAAAATGCTGAACTTTCCCTGCTTTTGCAGACATTTAATGGGTTTGTAAGCAGATTCTATTAGTTTAAGGGGGAAAAAATTGAACAAATTATTGCTGTAATTGGTGATAAGCATTAATTATTCCAAAAATACTTATGGCTTTTACAGACAAAATAAATGTATCACAAACCGATATAAACAAACTAGATTTTCCTGGGTGTTCCTAAGACTTTGAAGTCGAGTTGAGCGAGATGCCGAAGAAAGATATTGATTGATGTGTAAAACTCGCAACTAACAAAGTCTCATTTTTTTGGACTCTTTTAATTTCTTTGGCTTATCTGTTTGTTTAATCTCAAACATTTAAAATTGAACAAAAATATTCATAATTATGCAACACAAGACAGAGTAGCTTCAAGTTTTCTTCCCGAATTAACAGAATGTTTTTGGAAAACGGTGAATGTGGAAAAGTACTCCGTCATGAATGGAAAGCGTGGATCCGGTTTAAAGCCGACTTTGACCAAAGGTTGCTGTGTTTGTATGTGCTACACAAGATGGAAACCTGCGTGTGCTCAGGCGCAAAATAAAAGCGTCCTTAGGTGTTTCTGACAGCTCAGCGATAAGCTCTTCTCCATCTGTCGGAGAGTACAGATTCGCACACAACTCGCATTACCCTCAATAATACCTGCGTTAGAAATCTGCTTCCTGTTTCCATTTTTGTCCGCGCTTCAAAACGATTTATGTTGTTTATAACACCCGCGGCCCGGTCAGCGGGTAATCCATTATACTGCGGCACGTGCATGAACCCTTGATTATCTTTTTTTTTTTTTTTTTTTATACGAGCGTGCACGTGTTTCCCTGAGCAAAAAAAAAAAAAAAAAAAAAAAGCAAAGGGGTCACGATAGATGACATTCACTGTGACTGCAGAACAGCTGCGTGAGACACTGCTTCAGCAGAAAGGCTCGTAATAAGTTCAGGCTACATGGCGACATGTATGGAAACCAATCCTGCATACCTCGTCTATTTTCGGGGTCTCAAACTTACAACATAAACACTCTCCCGACTGAGTCCTCTTTCAAGGGAACATGTGCTTTTAAATCACAACTTCTCGTTTTGTTGTCTCTGTAAATTAGCACGGCTTCGGTCATTTCAGCGTCGAGGAAAGACGGTTTCCTCCTCCCAAAACCACTTGGCGATTAGAAGAGGAGCTTTTCAAATGTGAAAGAAAAGTCAGCCCGACTCTTTTTTTTTTTTTTTTTTTTTTTTGTCTTTATAGTTGCACTGCTTCTATAGTTTGGGAGCGTAATCTGACTTTAATGACTATTATTTCCTCTGCGCTCCATAATCTTGCGGAGGGTTTTTCCGCTGGTGAGAAAGAAGAAGGTCAGACAGCGTGGAAGAAGGAATTCCTGGCATTGCCAGAAGGAAACGCTTTACTGGAAAGGCTCGAGACCTTTTTTTTAGACTTTATAGCCCTAGTCTTCCCTTGAACAACCAGCGATATCTCACTTTACGAGTCTACGAGTATGTAGTGTGATATTTTGATCTATCAGTAATCTTTATTGTTGTTGACAGCATCCTGTCTTTGTCGTAGCACAGAGACGGTCGACGCTGGAGGTCTTGGCCTAACAGAAACATTATGATTACCTCGAGGAGTTAAATACTGAACTTTATGAGCTACATGTGGCTGTAGTGCTTTGAGGTTGCTTGCTTACAGTGTTTGACTACATTTCATCTTTACACCCTCTTTGTGACATCTGCTAAAGGTTACAGCCAGAAACCTCCACGTGACTGACCAACAAAGTCGCATGTGGTTAAATTCATCCACCATCAAGCTTTCGTTCCTACGTGAAATACAGGGCCACCAAAGTTACTTAAATGGCAAACGAAGGAGCCTGTACACACTATCGCAGCATTGACAAATGGTGGTGGCAGCATCATGCTGTGAGGATACTTTTCTTCAGTATGGATAGAAGGAAGCTGCTCAGAATTGTCATGCAATTCATTATCTATAAATGCCTTATAGCGCTGTATTTTTTTTAATTTATCGTTGTCATGATAAGTTCCAGTAAATGACACTTAAAACTTTCAATGCCGTCCATGCCGCTGGGATTGTTGGTTTGTAATATTTTTGTTCAATAAAAACACCAATAAATGTCAATAAAGTTGAAAAAAAACCCCATTGAAATGCAGTTACGACTTGCAGTTCAACGATACAAATCACACTTCTTTATGTGGCTGGTGTCCTAAAAAGAAGCATGTTTCAAATGGGAACGTTTCTGAAGAGCAACATTTGAGTTTGTGGGGCTAAAATAGCTGCGACACACAGCCGTACAGTTACAGTTAAGTAGTTGTTGGCGTCACTTTTATCGTTATCACAGTAGTGCTGCAAAATATTATGATAAAACTTCAACTTCATATCACCCAACCCTGTGGCCTAGTCAAAGTCAAGACTTCAGAATTAATGGCATGGCTTTGCTATTGTTTAAGAAGAATGTGAGCTGGTGGAGTGGCTGTCATCAACGAAAAATGTTCGTTCCACAAAGTTGCTGCTCCGCCACATTCACCAGCTACGTAATACTCTGTGTTCGTCCACCATTTAAAATCCCCCCAAAACACATTTGAGTTCCTGGTTTTCCATGAAAAGGTTAAAGGGGTAATGCATATTTCTACAAGTTTGGTGTAGATGTTAAAGAAAACAACCTTGTAAACACAGAGGTGGGTGTGGCTTAGCTCATTTGCATGGTTTTCCAGTGAGGTGTTGGAGTTTGTCACGTTGGAAAGTTTTCAGTCGGACTGGATCCAGATCCAGTCTTGCCAGTTTACCAGCTGCAAGCTGCAGAAAGGCTGCTTGGCTTTAAACACTCCACTCAGAAGTCGGTTGTTTATATTTCTGCTTTTCTTCATCAAAACCTGACCTAGTTCTGCTAAATGCTGAGCTCTCTGTTTTTATCTGCAGCAGTTATTCACATCTTTTTTCTTTTTTTGTCACAATAAATCGAATACTTCACCCTCTACTTATCACATAAATTATAATTCAACATTTAGGGTAAGATGTTTCATGTTATTTTGGTTCCTTTTGAAATTATAAAGAATCAGAGACGTTTGTTGTTGTTGGTTTTTTTTCCCCCTGCCCTTTTGCATTTATTAACATGTATCTGTTTTTTTTTTTTTGCTTACAGGTTGTCGGTAACAAAGTCGTAATGAGGGATCAGTTGAGCGTGCGAGGTGGCCAGCTGAAGGTCAAGTACCTGTATGAAGACTCAACCAATAACCGGAAAATCAACGCTATAACCACAGCTGTCATTCAGAACGCTGGGAGCACTGGCCAGACGCCCACCAAAACCACCGTCTCCACCCTGTCCAAGGATCACAGTGCGGACAGGTGAGGAAAACACACTCCAGTTATCAAATGCGTCCTCAAAGGCGAGATAGAACTCGGCGTGTTTACCCTGCCGCCTTTATTTGCCTCAGCTCTGACTCCAGTAAGGGCTCCACTGAATCATCTGGATCACAAGGAGCTGGGAACGGCGGCAAACTCTGCAACACCCTCAATCCCGAGCAGGCTCTGAGACTCTACCGGTCCCAGCTGACCACCCTGGAGCACACCGAGATCCAAGCATACCCGGATATCTACTTCGTGGGACCCAACGCGAGGAAAAGGCCTGTCGTTCCCGGCGGAAACAACAACTGCGGCTACGACGACGAGCAGGGCGGCTACATTCATGTCCCTCACGACCACCTGGCGTACCGCTACGAGTTCCTGAAGGTAACCTAAATGAACGTTTTTGGGTCCAAGACCCGCATACACTTGAATTTTGCTTTAAAATAAAACTGATGCTACAGCCAAAAAATTCCAAAGAAATCCCTGGAACTACCTTGATGAAAAAAAAAAAAGAAACAGTAACTGGTGACACTAATCTTCAGATTAGCAGCATTCTTTCAGCATGAGTCACAGCTACAAAAACTTGATCTCGTCTCATGCTTGGATGACTCTGTACCTGTCAGACTAGACCACGCCCATTTCCACCTGGAGTTTCCCTGGTTTCATTACAAATAAGGCAAATGATGTCACTTCTGATATGGTTGCACGTCAGAAAACGGCGCCGTTTGTTTCTTTTGGTGCTACAAACTGTGAACAACACAAGTTAGGGAACGGATAGGGAGCTAAAGAGTGCCTAGACCAGAGGTGGGGTGAAAACTACTTTGGCATATTTTTACTCAAGTAAACTGAAAAGTAGCCATCTAAGAAATTAATCAGTTAACAGTAGAAAAGAACCTGGTAAAAATGCTGAGTAACTCGTCAAACATCTGTCATTTAAAGTTTTTAAATTTCTGTGAAAATTTAGGTATTTTAAAGACCAAATTGACAACAATTCATATAAAAGACATAATTACAAAATAACAAAATTAATTTCTTTCAATAAAACACTAATTAAACCCCAGGTCTATTTTTGTGTCTGGTGATTTTTATTTTTATTTTTTATTTTTTGGTTAAAACAAGCTTGTTCTTCCTCCAGTGAAGTTACGCATAGTGAGTTGAGTTTCCAGATATTTTATTCAAGTAAAAGTAGCCATGCTTCATAATAAAGTTATTCAAGGAAAAGTCAAAAACTACAGTGTAGTAGAAATACTCCTAAAAGTCGTTTTACTTATTTATTTTTCTCCAAAAGGTCACTCAAGTAAATGTAACTAATCACCACCCAACTCTGGCTTGGACCCGTTTCCAAGCTTCTTACTGATTTAGTTCGGTCATGAATCGATTTCCTCTTCCTCCTCAGATCATCGGTAAGGGTAGCTTTGGACAGGTGGCTAAAGTCTACGACCACAAGCTGCAGCAGCACCTGGCCCTCAAGATGGTGCGCAACGAGAAGCGCTTCCACCGGCAAGCGCAGGAGGAGATCCGCATCCTGGAGCACCTGCGCAAGCAGGACCGCAACGGCGCCATGAACGTGGTGCACATGCTGGAGAACTTTACCTTCCGCAACCACATCTGCATGACCTTCGAACTGCTCAGCATGAACCTGTACGAGCTCATCAAGCGCAACAAGTTCCAAGGCTTCAGCCTGCCGCTGGTCAGGAAGTTTGCGCACTCCATCCTGCAGTGTCTCGAGGCGCTGTCCCGGCACAGGATCATCCACTGCGACCTGAAACCTGAGAACATCCTGCTCAAGCAGCAGGGCCGCAGCGGCATCAAGGTAGCGCTCCTGACAACTTCACACTGATATGATTCTTGGTTATTATTCGTTCAGTCAGTCATTAAGTAATTTGTTAAGCACACTCCAAAACACGGCAACAATTTGAATAAGTTGTTGCAGACAGAAACACGGGGCTTATTCCTGTCCTACGCTATCTAATGCTTTCTTTCTTATCATCCATGAGTTCATCAGCCTATAATTTAATTCCAATTTTTATTTATTTATTTATTTTTTAACCTTGATTTTTTTTTTTTTTTGTAAATTTATAAACATGTCGCAAATCATATTTGGATTCATGTAAGAAATTTTTGCAACCCAGCTGGCAGTAAACAAAATTTTTCTCTAAGCATCATTTGTATTATTTTATAATAAAACAAATCATAAAATTCCATGATAGCAGACTTCAACTTTAACATTCCTTAAAGTTGAAGTATGTAACATTTCTCAAAAGTTTTTTATATATTTGTTAAAACTGCCTCAATGTCATTACAGTTTGTCATGAAACAGCACCGTTCCGGCCAAAAAAAACAAAAAATCAGAGCCAGGAGGAGTGTCTTAGTGCTGTCAATCAAGCATGTGTACACGCTGCTCAGTGTGCTTATTGCAGAGAAACAACTTACCGTTATCCACCGTCATCAGTGGCTCTGCTAACTAGCTTTAGCATTAGCAGCAGGCTCTGCTGTCAGGAAGAAGCTGTAGTGTAGCTTGGAGAAAGAGAAGAGGCGGGAGGAGGTGAGGAGCGGCGTGCATACATGCGCATGATTGACAGCGCTGAGACACTCCCCCTGGTTCTGATTCACAGGTTATTTGTCTCATATTGTACTGTCACAACATGGTGACACTTTGAACAAATACGTAAAAACAAAAAAAAGTATTTGTATGCTGCAGACTTTTTACCGCTTTTCCCAACCTGATGCTGACTCCCACATTTTTTTGTTTTTCTCTCCCCCTCCCCCATCTGTTTCTGCTAGGTGATTGACTTTGGCTCCAGCTGCTTTGAGCACCAGCGGGTCTACACCTACATCCAGTCCCGCTTCTACCGGGCTCCGGAGGTGATCCTCGGCTCGCGCTACGGCCTCCCCATCGACATGTGGAGCTTCGGCTGCATCCTGGCCGAGCTGCTGACGGGCTACCCGCTGTTTCCCGGTGAGGACGAGGGTGACCAGCTGGCCTGCGTCATGGAGCTGCTCGGCATGCCCCCGCAGAAGATCCTGGAGCAGGCCAAGAGAGCCAAGAACTTCATCAATTCCAAGGGTCAGCCTCGCTACTGCGGGGTCAGCACCCTGCCGACCGGCGCCACCGTGCTGACGGGGTCGCGCTCGCGCCGCGGCAAGATGAGGGGCCCGCCGGGCAGCAAGGATTGGAGCGTCGCGCTCAAAGGCTGCGAGGACCCCACCTTTACTGACTTCTTGAAGAAGTGTTTGGACTGGGACCCCTCTTCCCGCCTCACGCCTAGCCAGGCCCTCAGACACCCCTGGCTGTACCGCCGGCTTCCCAAGCCCCTCCCCGGGACGGAGAAGAGCCAAGGGGCGCCTGTGAAACGGCTCCCCGAGCACCACAGCACCTCCTTCCCCTCCATCATGACGAAGGGCGGACAGGGCCTGGGCACAACGGCTCCCGGCAACAAACTCAAGAGCAACATGATTGGAGATTCAGGGGAGACCATCCCTCTTCGCACAGTCCTACCTAAACTTGTCTCCTAATAAAAAAAAAAAACAGTGAGAGAGAATCCTCTGCTCGTTCCACCCACTCCTCAGGAGGAGTCCACACACGGAGGACGTGGTTTTAAAACTTGTTTGGTTGTTCTTCTATTTGTTTTTTTTTTTCTACTGAGGTGTCGACACCCCAGTTCCTGGTTTTAATAATAGAAAAACAAAAAAAAAAAAATTTTGGCAAAAAACGAAAAAAAAAAAAAAAAAACAACAAACTATCACACAGAGGTTTTTATACAGAGGATTTCCTTTAATGGCTGTGAATTTTTCAGTTTACAGCCTGTTGATTTTTAGATGATGCTTTTTGGGTGGGGGGGTGGGGGGGGGCCAGAAATCTTCCTTGTGAGTGGACAGCTTTTTATTTGTTAAAAAGAAGATGTTTTTAGACCTCTGCTTGATCTCTCATGAGTGTTGTAGTGAAAACGCACTCGAGCACACCTGCACTGTCACTTGGCTCACTTCACACAGGACACCGCCATTTTGAATTCTCTCTTTCCACGTGCAAAACTTGAAAAGGGCTGTAGAGATTACTCCCATCAGGTGAGAGCTAGCTGGGAAGAAGGTGCGTGCTAGGCCGACGGAAGTTGACGGCAAAGAGAAATGCGACACAAATGCAAATTTATGCTCACGACGATTTTAAGGAGGTAAAACAGGTCTGGCTTTATTTGTGGGGAATAATTACAAATCGCAGTGCCTTGTAAAATATTCACACTGCCTTGACTTTTTTTTTTTTTTTTCACGTTTTGTCATATTGCAACCTCCAAACATCCAAGCTGGGGATGTGTTTAGCACAGCGGGTTTCTCCCTGACACGTCTGGTTTGGTCCGTGGTCTTCGTGACGCTGTTTGTTCAGCGACGCTCTTTGGAAAACTTCCTCTGAAGTCACAGAACAGGCGCATTTGTTGGATTTTTAATGCGAAATTAACGGAAACCCAGTCAAAATGATCAAACGACCCGACTGCATCCTTCAAAAGATTTTTTTTGAGAGGCTTCAGCTATCAATTCTGGGGAGCTTCCATGCTGGAGAGAAGCGTTCCCACACCATAACGCTGCCACTACCATGTTTTACAGCATTAGTAAAGAGGGACGGGGGCAGTCTGACAACTCCAACTGTGTCGCCATCACAATCTCTACTTCTGTGCTGGTTTACCAAGGCAAACCATTCTGCATAACTTTGTAAACATAGTGAGGGCAGTTGTGGTGCAGATTAAATAAACTTGGGGCAAATTTTAAGAATATTTGAGAATTTGTGTTACTTTAATAAATTGGGTTTCCATTATTCTTCACTGTAAAGTGAAGAGTTCCCACACCATGATGCTTCCACTACCTTCTAACACCTTAAGCGATGATTCCCGGTGAGTTTGTGGTTGTAACGTGTCAGTGTTAAAAAAAAAAAAAGTTCAAAAACGTCTGAATAGTTTTCCAAGGCACCTTCCTTCCTGTCTTTCCTTTTGCCTTAAGGACACCACCCTGCTGTTTGACATTAATGTGTGTGTGCTTTAGCCGAGAGGGCAAGGGGCAACCTATTTACAGCTTCTCCTAGTTTCACCACACTGGTGGAGGGGGGAGGGGAAGAAGAGCGGGTGGGAAGGACAGTAGCACCACTCGGCGCTTCGCGGCTGGTTTTACGAGAGGCCGCCTCACGTCACCTGGTTAATTTGTAGAGAGAGAACCAGGGCAGTGCACACAAAAACACGCAGGGCGGTTGTTACGACAGTTTGGGATGTTCGACACGCGCTCCGCCCTGCGATACGCCGCTGTAATTGTCAGTCGGAGATATTGTGAGGTAACGGAAAGAGCAGAGATATTTTTAAAATGAGCCCAGATGTAAAAGATGGCGATTAAAGTAAGGATTACTATGGTACTGAAGATCGATGTGTTTCTCAGGGAGACATGCTTGATGCATCCTTTTCATTCACTGTGCTCCTCACTCAGTCAGTCGCCACGGCAGCGGGTGAACAGCGCATGCAGATCTGTCTGCAGAGAGCGAGAGATTTCATTTCTGATTTTTTTTTTTTTTTTTTTTTTAACGGGGGGGGGGGTTGGGTGCTTGCGCTTCAACCTGACCTAGATTCATCGCCCTCTCTTCACCCAACAACTATCTCCTCTCCTCTCTGTCTGGTGTAGAGCGGGGAACCTCTCTGACGCACAGACAGTGAAACATGGTGCTGTCCGAACACTGAAACCCGTCAGGTGCATGTTGATTATGGACCACACCGTTTAAAGACTCTCAGCCCTCGTTTTCTAAGCGACTCTGTCAGGGATTTGTACTACTCCTCCGTTTTATTTTCACATGAGATTATCAAGAGGATGTAAAACCTGAAAGTGGACAAAGAGAAAGTTGTGGACTGACATGTTGCGCTAGAGGTGTGCGAGTTGGTCGGCCGGGTGTTTGGTGTTCAGCATGAAATCACAACCTGTTATCAAGACAGAGCGACTGACATGAAAAAGAGAAATGTACAGTAACCAAATGAAGTTGTGATAGTTTTTTTCTACAAAAAAAAAAAAATAAAACTTACTGTTAAGTGAAATTTGCTGCTCTCTGTTCTTTTCTTTTTTTTTTCTTTTTGCAAATCTGATCACATTAATTTGGGCTTAGATTACAATTCAGAAGTTTAAAGCACAATCAATACTGGTATTAATTAGTTTTGGACTTGTAGTGAAGCATTTGACTTTTTTTTTTTGTCATGGGATGAGACAACAAACATCCATCCATTCTTAATGAGATCGGGTCGCGAAGCGGCCAGCGAGTTCTGGGTCTCCTCTCAGCTGGACATGCCTGGAAAAGCTTCAAACAACTTAATTCATTTAAAAAGATCAAATTTATTTGAGATTTTCAAACACAGTCATAATTATAGATGCTATAAATCAAATATACGGACTGTTTATAACATTTGGTCCCTTTCCAAGTCGCAAAGAAGCCACTCGGATTCTCATCACTTTTCTTATAGAATTAGTAGTCTCCATTTAAGCCTTTTTTTTGCACTGACTTGTTGAAAAGGGCAAAGGTCAAAATCATTCCTGAATGATATTAGTCCGTTCAATCCATTCTGAAACCAGTCTGGATGTGTGTTTGGGCTCCATCCTCCGCTGGATTACCAAACTGAAGTAAAGTTGGTTAGGATGTTCAAAAATAACAGAGGAAGTAATAATCCAGTCAATAAAGTACATTATGCTGGACCACCAGTGAAGGACATTGAATGACACAGTGCTGACTGAAGAAGAGTCTGGTCCAAACCCAACAACCTCAAGCCTCACTGACATTTGCAGCTGCCCATGTGGACGAGCCAAATGCCCTGTGGAGAAAAGTATTTTGGTCAAATTTTAGCTATTTGACCACGATCAGAATGTCACTATATTAGGAAAACATGTCTTCTGCGATGAAATTTCAAAGTGAGTTTTTATAAATAAATACATATTTGATAGTGGTAGTGTTTATCTTGTCTTATTTGAGCTTCAGGGTTGTATCTTCTTGGAAAGATTGAATCTGTGATACTTATATAATAAGTACAAATATTAATACAGTGTACCGAGGTTTCTGCGGTAACAATAAATTTGGTAGATATTGACCCACAATTACAGGTACCACTTTAGAGCTCTGAAAAAAATTAAGAGACCTCTTAAAATGATCACTTTCTCTGATTTTATTGTTTATATATTTACGTAAAATGAACATTGTTCTTTTACTCTTTGAACTACTGACATGTTTCCAAAATTCTAAACAAAAATTTAGTATTCATCTGCGGAAAATGAGAAATGCATATATATATATATATATATATATATATATATATATATATATATATATATATATATATATATATATATTTTTTTTTTACAAAAAAAATGCTACAAAAATATTTATTTAGCATATTACTCACTTAAAATTTTTTTTACAAATACTTATTGTTCTTACAAGGTGGTCTGAAATGTTTAGTATAACAACTCTAGATAAAATGTAGAGGTGAACAGACCTGGCTCACTATTTAACAAGAAACCAGTAGATGTTGTCTCCTTCTCACCCTTTATTAAAGCATAACAAACTGTTCTTAATGATTTATAAAGTGTTAATAACACATCTATAAACTACACATTAATGTGTGTTTGGGAAGTCAAGGCAACATTAAGCTACTGGAGTTCCATGACAGGAAACCAGTTTAAATGAGCTCTACCTGTTCCGGTAAGAGGGGCCACATATCCTGCCCGAATTACATCGGAAGCTTGTCAGCAGCTACACAATTCCCGTAGTTTCTTTTTGACCGATGACAGGATATTTGGACAAAAAAACAGGGTTGTATGTATGTGTGAACATATGTGTATAACGTTGCCTTTATTTTCATTGGAGTGAATCTCAAGTTCAAATGTATTTATTTAGTTCCTGCTTGGATTTCGTTGGATTTGATCGTTGTCAGACCTTACCGCTTTTGCTCAGACAAAGCATCACAAGCCCCAGGTTAATACACCATTCACTGCAACCATGAGCGTTCGGTAACTTCTGACTGTTTCAAGCGAAAGCTCTTCATTGTCTGGTTTTCCACACCGACCTTCTGCATTGTGACACAAACTGGTTTTGATTCACTATTAAGAAGAATTCGATTTCAGTCGGTGATCAGATTACAGACTCGATGAACACCCAGGGACTCTGATGAGTCACCGACCTGTAAAACTAATACTTCCTTATTATTAGAGAACTTATCTAAATAACTGATATAAAAATAAAAAAAAACACGGCAATTATTCAGTCACATAGGAAAAAAGGATTGCTTATCAATTACAAAGAACACCCTGATAATGTTGGTCAGGACACTCTTACAATCGAATTACTTTCAACATACTTTTTTCCTTCATGTGGAAGATAAGCTGAACCGTTTTGACACTGGGGCCATAACTTAGCAGATAAATAAATAATCTTCCCTGTTGATTGCTGCTCTTGTCACCCTTTTAATTTCTTTCCTCATGTGCGTTGACCTTTAAGTGGCAGCGCATACGCTCCTGTCGGCCCTCACGTCTTACAGCTATGAATTGAAAAAAAAAAAAATAATTAAAACCCATCCTTCAATTTGATTATATTTATCCTTTCAGAGAAACATTTCACATCGAAGAAGCATTATGTTTTAATAAAACCGTCTCAACCTTTAGATGAAACAGACAGAGGGATGGTGTGCTACATTTGTCAGTCTTTTAGCTTACCTCGTGTTGTCTGACTGGTGCTATTTTTATTTATTTTTCTAATTTCTTTTATTTTTCTTCTACAGCAAAAACCAAAGAGGAAACAAATACAGCCTACAAAATTGAAGTAGTTGCTGGATCTCCATTGGACCGCTGAGGCCATGTTTGTTGCTGCAGCCACAGCTGACCTGCAGTGACACGTTACAATGGTGGAGTTTGAAACGGTATTTCTAGGAAAGGCCGGTCAAATCTAAACATTCGCGGTGACATTCTGTCAAAGTCTCTGAGCGGCTGTTCTGGTTAGCAGCCCTGAAGCAGAACTGCAAGTCTGAAACGGTTCTCATCCCGAATCCTTTAACCTCTTTGTGGCACGCTTCATTCTGTGATTCAACTCTCGATTGGCTTACTGGAAAGAAAAACAATGCCAGGTGTTGCATGTTTTTCCAGACTCAATATATTATGTCTGTAATAAAGAAGCAAGTTGATGAATCTATCCCGTCATAAGGACGGTCACCTGATGATCCACGCTTGTGATTCATGGGTCTTCCCACTTGCAGGCAGGTTCCTGGAGATATAGTCAGGTACACACACAATAAAAAGAGAGGAAGAGGGGGAGGAGGAGGAGGGGGAGAAACCGGTTGGGTGACATTAGCTAATGCAGAAAACAAGATAATGTGAGTGTTTTATGACGAGAGAGACGGAGAAGGAGGCAGTGGGTGGTTGGCTGTGTGTCAGAGAATCTTGGCTCATGTCTTTAAATGCCAGCTGGTTCTTTAAAAAAAACAAAAGGTTCTGCATCATTTTCATTCTTTCTGGGTGTGTCTCTGTTTGGAGTCGTTGTGCTCTCACTGTCGTCATGATTCAAATAAGAGGCCAAGCAAACAAACAAACAAACAAACAAGCCGTTCTGGACTCTGTTGATCTTACTGGGATTTGAATCTTAAAGTAGCTGTGTGTGTTTTTTTGTTTTTTTTTACTCTAATCTAGTAACCTCACTAACTATAATGTCTAAACTCAAAGACATATTCCTCCAAAGAATTTCATCTTAATGGGTTTCCTGCGATATGTATTCTCAGGATCAATACACAAGCAGTGAAGAATAATTTAAATGTTCACCATTTCCCCCAACGACTCTTTCAAGTCAATGCAAAAGCAGATTAGACCAATCCCATTACCGACCAACCCAGTCACCCTGTGACCATATGGTCTAAGGATCGTCCTCTTTGACACACATTATGTTAGCTTTGCACTTCTCTCCCCATCCACGCAAACATCCCGATGTCTGCAGACCTTTTGGTGCCACAGCAGGATCTCGGGTCCTGGCCATGGACCGGGAGGGGCTGCGCGCTGACAGGTTTCTGATTACCACATAGATTAAGAAATCTTGACCTGGCCGTCGCTCCGCGTTTGGCTTGAAGAGTTGACATGTGTCTCTGTCTCTCCTGTTCGGATTTTGTCATGTTAGAAAAACCCCACAAACTACGATGTATTTTATTGGGACGAACACCTACAGTAAGTGGTGGTTGATGGGGGAAATGGATGGAACAGGACAACACCAGAAGTAAACCTGTTACAGGCTAATGAAGACTTAGCAGTGAGGACTAGATTCACCTTGCAGGACAAACATACAGCTAATTTAAGTTAAACCAACTTTTGATGGATTTATATTCTACTTTTCCATAAAAAAAGACACAAAACAAAAACAACTAAAAGATCCCAAAAAGGCCTGAAAAATATTCCACAATATCAACTTTGAAAGCAAAAAAATAATGTTTCGTTTTATTTTACTTTATTTTTTTTTTAAGCCCAGCTGTGAATTTCCCATGAAAGCAGAACAATTTAATCTACATTTAGAGATTTGAGAGAGTGACCAGTGCGTCTGGCCAGCGCTGAAGAATTACTCTGAGGGCAGGCAGTTCTTCTATTGTGTTTTGCTCATTCACATAACTGGGTGCATTATAGGGATGTGGCTTTTGTTTGATCTCGCTGTCGTGATCCGCCAGAGAAAATTGTCCCGTCTGGACCGAAGCGTGGATTGGCATTCTGACTCACCTCTCTGCAACTAATTTTTTTTTTTTCTTTTTTGGTTCCCCCAGTGAAACGAACCTCTTGTTTTGCTTTATGCTAGACAATATGGCCAAGCACACAGACTCTCAGGTCACAGAGTGCAGACACACAGTGAAGCTATGTGTGTCATCTGGCTTCAGTCCACAGGGACAGCTGAGGGTACGGACCAGGAGGGGAGGCAGAGAAATGCCACGTTAGTCCCTCCACACACACGCACACACACACACCTATACACACATACATACACATACACGCACGCATATGCACAAACACAACACATGTCCCCGCTTGCACAAAAACAGACTGCAACCCACTGTTTCTTAGTCATACACTCACAGTGACACACTCACAGCTGAGCCCACACCAGGCACACATGCACAGTGAAGCACATGTCAATACAGGCTGAACAGTTGCAGATCGTTGGGAGAGGTGGGGTACTGCTCCAATAACACAAGCCCACCAAACCTACCAATCTGCATTCCACCTCAGGGAAGGGGAGCTATGCATATGTTTTGTATTTTTTATTTTTATTTTTTTAAATCCAATGCCTGTGCAAAAGTTCTCAGATGAAACTTCTCCCCTATGGTTTTCTGGTAAAAAAAATAAAAAATAAATCCTCCAGCTTCATCTTTTTTTTTTTTTTTTCGCAAGATGTATCACCTGCCTATGCCTATGTCTATGCAGCCCACCTCCTCCATATTTAGGTCTCAAGTTTCCCCGTCTTGTTTACATGACACGGACGGGACACAGCTGGGACGAAAATAGAGGATGAGTCGCTTTCTGTCTACAGAGATTAATCCGACCGTGCGTCTGTTTCTGTGATAAGTGTGTCTGCAAGTTTGCATGTGTTTTTCAACTCCCGTGTCTTCCCAGCTCCCATATAGCCCGAAGGTAGCAGGTCTGCATGGCAACACTCCCGGAAAAAGCTCCGAGCTCATCGTCGAAGCCATATCGTTGTGCAAGATCAGTAAACCCAACCTCTGCTCAGAGCTCAGCAGAAGATGTTTTCCACAGTCTGGTTATGCTAAGGAGTACCCAAATGAGCAGGCAGATTAATTGGAGGCCAGTCCTTCCTCACCAGAGGACAATCTGGATATTTTATCAGTGTTGTCAAGTTATAGTTTGAAAACTCTTATTCAGGCTTAATTATAATTATTAAACTTCAGGTTGTACTACTGGCAACCATGTAAGCCTAAATGAAAGACAATGTTTCCATTCCTAGTCTTACGCTAGCCTGCTAGCTCGTGATTTTAACAGGTTTTTACAGTAACAACAATGTAGACTTAGCTATTAAACAGTAAAAACACTTTATTTAGCTGAATTTTAAATCTACTGAGCTTAAAAGCACATATAAAGCACTTTTAATAACTTCAGTGCCGTATTAGGAACTTTTAGCTGGTAATGATGCTAGTTGTGATTAAGTGTCATCCAACTGTGGTCTAAATCATAATGAGATATAAAAGCAGCATCCGATAAATGTTCAGTTGATGAAATTCTCATTCTTATTCTTGTTCCGCTTCGCAACGCAGAACATTAATTTCGATCAACATTTAGCGCCATTTACTTTATAGAATCAAACATGGAGAACCAACACCTAATCTATCCTTTTTTATTTTATTTTTTTGCTCTTTCCTTTGGTTTATTTCACATTTCCTTCTAATTCACGTAAAGCACTGCCTTGTTGCTGAAAACGTGCTATATAAATAAAATGACCTTACCTCATTGACTTATGAAATGCAACCATCTTGATTTCTTAGAATGGTTTTAAAACTTTTCCTTCAAGGAAAAAGTAGAAGGCAGGAGCATATTTCTGCTAAATTATATAATCTAATTGAGCCGTTTTGGTGCAATTCAAGGACAATTTATTCCGGTGACATGTAGAACCATGAGGACAAATCATTTTTGAGAATATCTTATTGGGTATGAACAACACAAAGCCTGTTTTTGCTGAAAAACAGAGAGCTGCTTCTCAGCCTTGACCTGGGGATCTTTATTTGATCTCCTTGAGGTAACTGCAGCAGGCAAGGCTGGTCTAACCCAACATATATATTGCAATAATCTGGACAAAAGATGGTAGAAGTACAAATGACCTTCTCCAGATCACATTTCCAGGGAAAACATCTCCAAAAGTCTTCCGATATTCTATTTCCCGTATCCCTCATTGAAAGACTTGCCTAGATTCTGAAAAATATTTGTGTTTTGGGAAGCTCTGGACTTCGCTGCACGTGTTTATCTGCACTCAGCAAGCTAATCTTCACAGAAAGTAACATGACTGATCTGCTCTTATCACTTCTGCCCACATGTTACTTTTAACACTTTCTTTTTAATCATCACGCATACGTACACTCCCAAACTAGCACTTCAAGCGTGTTTCTGCAGCCACTATGATGCTGTGCTGGAGACTCTTGTTTCCTGGTGAAGCACATTCTGCGGGGAAGCTGTTGTTGCATCCTTTCTGTTGCTGGGTACATTGGATATTTGTGGTTGGTTTCGGATTACCTTGACAAGACAGGGCAACCTATCGCAGGGGGGAAATTTTTAGGAGACAGCTTCAGCGCAGGTCTAAACTTTGAGTAGGCTACCATGTAGCCATGATCAAACTAGAAGAAGACGCATTGCATTGAAAAAATAATCATGCCTCTAGAGATTTTTTTTTATATTTCGTCAAGAAATGCTAAACATTTAACTTTAATTGTATGTGATAGACCAACGGACGTGGCTTACTTATCTTTGGGCCCCTCTATTGTGAAATCTCTGAATGAAACGAAGTGTAAACAGATGCTTTTATCGATCTCATATTTAGCTGATGGACACTGCCCATCTCTCCATGCCTAGGCGGGACATAGTGATGGTCAGTAAGCTGGTTAGAGTTGATGGGAGGGTGGATGAAGCTAAACACAGGATAATCCAGGGGAAAACCCTGTGAGAGGCTGCAAAAGACTGAGGTGAAGGTTCACCTTCCAACAGGACAACAACCCTGAACATACGGCCAGAGCAACAAGGAAACAGTTTAGATTAAAGGATATTCGTTTGGTGCAATGGCCCATTCAAAGTCCAGAATGTTGTTGCAAAACTTAAACCGTATCATTTCCTTCCTTTTCACATTGACACGTGATTTTGTGCTTGTGTATAAAATATCCAGCGCTTACATTTTAGCCTTCTGGTTGTCGCGTCACAGAATGTGAAGAGGGGGTCTGAATGGTTTTGCGAGGCGCCGCATGTGTGAGTTTCTGTCGGTGTATGCACAGAGCAAACACAGACCTATCAGTTTCTGTCACATGTTCTGCCTTGTTTTTACTCTAGCTGAATCTACATTTCTAAGTACAAAAAAAAAGTCAATATGACACAAAGAAATTCTCTGAAATTACCATTTTCGCTAAGTCCAAAGATTTAGCGAATGTGAGGCAACTGGTCTTTGAATGCTCTTGTATCTGCTGGTAATTCTCTATTAAGTGGCTGCTTGGAAAACCACGTCATTACTTATTACAGCTAATCTAGTTGAAAGGGCACATAC